TTGAACTTCTATTGTTGGTCCTCTGTGATCTTCTATGGTAGAGCCTCTTCTGTCAACACTTGCAGAATTACTTTTTCCATACTTTTACATTTAGAGAAATGAGAGCTAACAGAATCGCTTATTAGTGAATGAGACTGTTAAGTCAAAAAAATCTGCCAGAATTTCACACAGAGTGCAGTACAACCCGAGGCTCTGGTCGTCCAGAGGGCCTCTGCTCCCGAAGGACTTGGAGTCCAGAGCTCTGGTCGTCCAGAGGGCCTCTGGTCCCGAAGGACTTGTCCAGAGCTCTGGTCTATACAACCCGAGGCTCTGGTCGTCCAGAGGGCCTCTGCTCCCGAAGGACTTGGAGTCCAGAGCTCTGGTCTATACAACCAGAGGCTCTGGTCGTCCAGAAGGCCTCTGGTCCCGAAGGACTTGGTGTCCAGAGCTCTGATCTATACATCCAGAGGCTTTGGTCGTCCAGAGTGCCTCTGGTCCCGAAGGACTTCCATACTTGGCCATTTAATCACAGCAGAAAACTTTGGATTTTTCATCCTTAACATACAGTGCTTAATAAGACTTTTAGGATACTTAAGATCAATTACAACACCAAAAACATATCAAATACCAAAGGCATCACTACCAAAATAGAGTATACATGTGCACCACACCCCTCTTCGTCTACCGGGCCCGTGCAAAGTATTCACACCCGGCTCCCTACCAATCAGGATACGTGAATACCACAATCGGTATGCCACACCTAACCTGCCTCTCCTTGGGATATGTGGACATACACCATGCTACGACATATCACACGAAGTAATACCCGTAGATCATGGTTTTTCAAAAGGCCAAATAAACAGTCTCGGATCCGGACTCAACCACAACGTAAAAGGATTAAGAAATACCAAAACAAAGTTAGGGAAAGTTCACCTTACAAAATAATCCATGCAAAATCAACAACTTTTCAGTAAGAATTCATATACATATAGTATATATAAGTATAAGTTCGATATAAACTCACAATGTTTAATATAAACAACCGAACGCGGTAACATCCAATTCCAACCAACAATAGCATTAATTTTTCAGAGGCTCTAAATAGCCTTAAAACAGTCCCTGGAATAAACATTTCAAGTATCAATAAACAACTATATCCCAACCTCAAGTTATACACTTTAGATCTTGATTATCCTATTTACACTTTCTTGTACAGCCCTCTGTTCAACCCCTGTTTTACCACACTTAGACTCAGATTTAGCCATTGACCTGAAAATACTAAATAAAGTATCCTCGTAAAGCTTTCTAATGAAACTGACCTCACATTTTTAAGATTTGTTTGTGATTTGTTATGAATTTTTAACACAATAGCATCAAAGATGTCAAAATCCAGCTTTATAACTCACTGCATGTTGCAGATTTTACCCAATTTAGCTTCAAATTCACACATTAATCAACATTATCTTTTATAATCTTTCAAACGCAGAACCTAGCCTTTAAACTAACACTTCTACTTGAAATAAACTTGTAATTAGAAGCATAAATTTGACACATACTCCTCAAGAATCTAACATTGATCATCAAGCATTTGAAAGATTAATCTTAAGTGTGTGTAAATTGCACCTTGAGTGTGGGAGTTCTAGAAGTGAGAAAATATGACTGATTTTGAGAGCTGGGCACGGTTTTGACCTATTTTGGTCAACAGTCCACCTAGTTTGCCATAGTTGACAGATTTAGTCTCTCATGCGTAACTTGGTCGTTTCAACTCTATTTCGCACGAAACTTTCCAGATCTCCTAATTGACATATAAGAAGCTTAAATATAAAATTCCAGCCTCTAAATCGATTCAGAAGTCCATATTCCAATCTAACTTAAGTAAGTACTAATCCTAAAAATACTATACTAACTTAATTAATCATGCTTATCAACTTAAATGGACTTTTAAAAAGTTGGATGTTACATCATGATCCTTCTTACTTCGTGAATAAATTAGTATGTCGTCTATGAAGACGATTACAAATTTATTCAGGTATGGTCTGAAAACCATATTCATCAGATCCATAAAGACCGCCGGTGCATTGGTTAACCCGAATGGCATAACCAAAAATTCGTAATGAGCGTACCGGGTCCTAAATGCCGTTTTGGGGGTGTCCTTTTCTCGAATTCTCACTTGATGATATCCGTATCATAAATCGATCTTTGAAAATTATACAGCACCTTGAAGTTGATCAAATAAATCATCGATTCTAGGAAGAGGGTATCTATTCTTGATGGTCAACTTATTAAGTTCCCTATAATCAGTGCACATTTGCATTGACCCATCTTTGTTTTTGACGAATAGAACCGGTGCACCCCATGGTGAGAAACTAGGTCTTATGAATCCTTTATCCAATAATTATTGGAGTTGACCTGACAATTCTTGCATTTCTGATGGGGCCAATCGATATGGTGCTTTTGCCATTGGGGCAGCTCCAGGAATTAAGTCAATATCGAATTCGACTTGTCTTGGCGGGGGTAGTCCTGGTAAATCCTTAGGAAATACTTCAGAAAACTCCCGAACCACAGGGAATTCTTCAATACATCTTTCTTTGACCTTCTTATCTATAACGTGTGCCAAAAATACAAAATAATTCTTCTTTAAGTACTTCCGCATCTTCATACATGATACTATCTTAATTTTCAGATCTGACTCGTTTCCTTGAATTATAATTGCTTCACCTCCTTCTTGAGGAATTCAGATAATCTTTTTTGAACAAACTATTTCAGCTTGATTTTTGGATAGCCAATCCATGCCTATGACTATATCAAAACTTCCTAAATCAATTGGAATAAGGTCTATGCTAAAATCCTTGTTGGCTAAACTTAGAGTGCAGTCCATGATTATGTCTCTAGCCTTAATTTCTTGGCCATTGGCAAATTCTATTATATAAACCTCTTTCAACCTTTGAGGCTTTAAGTTAATCTTTGGCTTAAAATCTAATGATACAAAACTTCTATATGCTCCTGAATCAAATAATACCGATGGAAATTCATTATTCAAGAGAAATGTACCTGTAACCACATTCGGATCATGCCTAGCTTCCTTTGCTCCAATCTCAAATGCTCGGCCCCGTGTTTGACTTTCTGGGTTTCCTTGATTGGCTGGTCGGGCTTGGTTTGCATTTGTACCTTGTTTTCTTTTTGGGCAAACATTTCTTATATGGTCTGGACTCCCACAATCAAAACACAATCGCTTTCGGCAATCCTTTGTGGAATGACCCCCTCTGTGGCATCTTTGACAAATGATGCAATTCCCCTAGTGCAAATATTTGCATTTATTGCACTTAGGCTTGTTTCCTTGGTTTACCACCTGGGTATGTACCTCAAAATTTCCTATTTCTTTCCTGTTCTTGTCAAATATTCCCCCAGATCTTTGGTTCCCATGTTCTTCCATCTTTCTCTTTTTTTTTGGTGAATTATCCGGACCGAACAATATTATTTGTGAGCTTGTTAGCAATGTCTATTGCCTCCTGAAGGGTCTTTGGGTTTGCCGAGGCGATATTTCCTCGAATCTCTGGAGACAATCCCCAAATATATCACTCGATTAGAACTTCCTCAGTTTCACCAGATGTGGCACTAAATTTGCTAACTAATGGAATCGAGTAGTATATGCAGCTATGTTTTCCCCTTTCATCTCATGGTTCCATAATTCCCTTTCCAACTTTTGGAGTTCACTCCTTGGACAGTATTCGTTCTTAAGTAGTTTCATGAAGTCCTCCTATGAAAGTTGGTTGGCTGTTTCCCGAACCCTAGTCTAAACTAATGTGTTCCACCATGTCAGTGCTCGACCTTGCAGTAAACATGCAGCATATTCTACTTTGTTTGCTTCAGTGCATTTACTGATATGGAGGACAGATTCCATACCCTCAATCCAAGTTAATAATCCTACGGCTCCCTTGGTTCCATGGAATTCTTTTGGGTTGCAGGATCTGAGGATTTATAGGTGCATTCCCTGGGTGTTCTAGGCTCAGAATTGGTTGGTTGGTTAGCGTTCGGTCCTGCCGCTACCTGGCTGACAATGTTGGGGAGTGCGGCCAAGAGTTGTTCTTACACGAGTCGTGCAACTTCAGGGTTTTCTCTTATTGGCGGCATTTTCTAAGGCCTAAGTCAGAAGGGAATTTCGTCATTTTCATGGCAATATCATTGATAATAACTTCTAGTCATTTAAATGATGCAAAGGATATTCATCTTGTGGATAACATTCAAGCATTTACATAATCGAACAGAATAATTTATATTCAACCATGGCTTGATGTAGATAAGCATTTCTCAAAAGACGTCATAAGTTCATAACTGTTTACAGCCCACCAAAACAAGATCTTAGGTTTCAATGCAAAAGAGTAAATATTCTATCACTATATATCCTTTCTAGAGCAACATCCAACCGATCAGCATTCCTAGCATCAACATCATCATCCCACTCACCACCAGGCACTTGTACAATCTCCTAATCTCCCGTCTAGCAGTGATGACGGCATCTGAGATTCTCATCATATGTTATAACCAGGTTTGAGACAACCTGGGTTGAGGTAATTTATACATGTTTATTWTGTGGATTRCRTGAAATATGCATATCTAAGTAGAAATGCATGAACTATATATGTGAACATGATATTGTGCATGCATATATGTGAAAAGGTGGCATGACATACATAATTTATACATGTATGCATGTGGTGTGAAGCATACATGAGGTGATACCTATTTGTGATAAGTTATTCTGGTGGAAACATTATTATATTATTTAAAAACTTATACCTTCATGGTTAAGAAATCATGAATTTTATAATGAAAAACCCACTACCCAAGGTTATTTCTATTGGATAAAGCTTTCACCTCCAATGAGTTTTATAATTAAAATAATCTCCACCGTCATGGTGACAGTATTTAAAGAAATACAAAAAATAAGATTCTATCTTATCATTTCATTTGAAGAAAAATCTGTTGAAAGAGAAAAAGAGTGTTGTGGCAGTGAGAAGTGTTCCTAAACAAATCTTTTGTTCAAAGTTGTTTGAAGAGCTTGTGATTTGCTGTGTGTTTTAAAACTGCAGAAACTGTGATTATTAAGGTGAGTTTTTAAACTACCGTTGATTATAAACTGTGAGTTTTATAATTACTGTTGATTTTACACTGTGAGTTTTTTATGACTAGAATCTTTATATATTTTATTATATAAACTGCTGGGTTTTGATACTGGTTTTGAAGAAAAGATGGTAAAACTATTTTGATAGTTTAAAGGTGTTATTGTTATATATTTGTGTATTAAAACCCATTTTAGGAAATTTAAAGAGGAGGTTGCTTCTTTAAAATAATTTTGAAATGATATCCTGTTGAAAGGATACAAAAGGATTTGAGTTTGGAAATATTATTGCAAGAATTGGTTGTTCTTGAATATTCAGAGTTTTGATGATAAAACTGTTGGTTGAAGACTATAGAGAATATTCTTTAAAGACGATTGTGACTTTGATCTATCTTCATTTGGAATTAATCTATAGATTTTATGGATAAAACTATGAATGAGGATTCGATAAGATGGTTGTGACTACGGTCCTTCATCCGAACTAGTTCATAGATTTTGAAGAAGAAATAAAGTTGGCATATCAAGGAGAGGTGTCTTTTGGAATAACGGTGGCATATCAAGGAGAGGTGTCTT